GACATTTATAGGATTTAGTTGTTCTGCTTTTGCTGTTCTTAGGACTTATACACTAGTCAGTTGTTACCAGACTGAGGCTAGTGCCTCCAACATTCTAGGATCTAGTTGTCACTACTTTCTGCTTTCCTAGGACATGTATGCTAGTTAGTTGCTTTTGCTTTCCTAGGATATGTATGTTAGTTAGTTGCTTCTGCTTTCACTTAGGCTGTTAGCTGTGACATTGTTGTTTTGTGACAATTTATATCCTAGGTTGCATCGCATGGACTCAGCATGGAGCTTGCTCCGCATCCTAGACTACTCAGGTTTTCTTTTCTTTRGTAGAGTTCCGCTTCTTGGCGGAAGCATGTTTGTATCTAGGCGATCAATCACAGGCCGAGGATCGTGTAGCGGACCTYGGGTTGGCCTGTGAGACCAGCCCCTTGGCCTGTTCTCACAGGCCTGTGTTGTATTCGGGGAAGGCCAGTCCAGGCCGGTACCTCTGTCGGTACCAGCCAGTCCAGTCCAGTCCCGTCAGTCCGCTGGGGTATACCCCAGCCATTGTCTGTTTTCACTTTCATTCTTGACTTGCACATTTTTGGAGTACGTGCGTTGGAGTCCTGTGTGGGAGCTGTGCTGTGCGTCATCTTGCTCCCCCCTTTCCTCCTCCATCTCCATCTCTACCACTAGCGGAGCACCACACCTGGTGGGTCCGCTACAAAGAGGGAGGAAGGAGGAGGAAGGAAGGAGGAAGGGGGAGGAGCGCCAGGGGTACTTACCTGGCTATGGTGGCAGCCATCTTCATCACTTTGGTGGGCACTGCAGCAAGGAGTCCCCAGCCGGGGAAAGCCACACCAAGAAGCTTCAAGGCATGGTTGGACATGGCGGCCTGAGTCCGAGCAGCCATAGCTGCTTTGTGTTGTCCTTTGGGCCTCGGAGCAAGGCCTAGTAGTCCGCCATAGCCTCGGCCTATGTGTATGAAGAGTGGGAGAGGCGGCCATGGCTATGGTGGACCTTGAGTGATACCTGCAGTAGAAAAGGGACTCGTACATGATTCTGGACCAGTCATTCAACATTGTACTATTATTTCCTGTATGAATAAGAGAAGGGGGAGATAAGGAGGAGGAGATTGTTGGGCGAAGAAGAAGAGCCTTGTTATCATCTTTGCTGGTGTACTTCTTCTTCTTCTTCTTTCTCATTTCTTCTTCTTGTACTCCTCTCTCTCCTCTCAAGTTCATTCATTTCTTTCTGCAATTGGATGGGGTGAGTTCTCTTCATCTCGAAGCTCAAGGCCACTCTGGTAAGTGTTGTGCACCTACGGGATGCCCATATATGTGTGTATGGTATGGATTGACCTGCTGGGGCACTTTGGGTTTCTTTTCCTACTCCTCTGTGGTCTTGATTGTGTGACTGAATGCATGTGATCTACCTACTCACCTGATGGATGGAAAATGAAGTACCTTGCTATAAATGCCGAGTCTTTCTACAGTGCTTTATCTTTTCATCATTGAACGGTTGTAGTCTCTAGGTTTTGCCAGAAGTTGAACCGGGCCCAAACAAGGGGAAGCCTCTGGACCCAAATCGATTAGGCATTGACCTCTTGTCTTCTTGGTTGGGATATGAGTTCATTCTTCTTGGATTAGGACACCCACTGCCGAGGGGATCTTGGCTTTGACGTTTCACTTGCATTCTGATTGCACCATCCGTGGCTTGACTCGCACCCTGTACACCACTCAATTCTCCATCGTTGCATTTGGTCACTCGTTGTCTGAGTTGCTGTACGGACACGGAGCTGGTCAGGCTGGACTCGAGAGGACCTCGTATGCAGCCTGATCAGACTAAGTCGCTGGATCAGACCTCTCTTTGAGTTTGATTGTTTCTTTTGCTGTTCTCTACTTCCAAATGACATGCCGCTCCGGCTAGGAGTTCTACCTTCTCTACTCTGAGCTGTATGTGTTTTTCCGAGTTCATTTCCGATGCCCCTGGAGATGCGCAATCTGAAAGAAGAAAGAGAGAGGAGGGAGAGACAACAGGGAGAGAGGGAAGGTGATAGTCTGAGGTGGGCAAGGACTGGGACAAGGAGTGTTCGTCTAAGCGCGAGGGGGAGTGAACCTCTTGACAGTCAGATTGATTTTTTTGTTGTCTGGCAACTCTCTGATCCACCTGCCCACACTGACAGTCCAAAGATGGCCCACCTAACTTCAACACAATGGCGGGCCTTGTTAGATGCAGCCGATGATGCTGAGAAACCACATCTGCAAGCACTCTTGGATGGTGCTATAAAACGGGAACAGGAGACAGAGAAGGAGAGGAAGGAGACCCTGCGAAGAAGGCAAGTGGCTCTCCTAGAGATTGTCCCTTCACTGACCGAAGTGCAGTGTGGGGAACAGTTGCAGTCCATACTCACAACCTTGGTTCAAGTCCGGAATCTTGAGGACCATACCACTCAGATCGCTGAAGTTTTTGTGAAGTTGCAGACTCTTTAGGATGATCTGACTGAGATGACCCGCAAGTACCATGACTTGACCAAGGAGGTGGCTGACCTGCGACAAGCCCAAGTGGCGAACCCTCTCCCTCTACCCCCTGGGACCGGAGCTGCAATCGGAACTACTTCTTTCCCTCTTACTGTATCCTCTTCTACCTCTTCTTCGAGTGTGATGGCAACTTCCTCAGGACCTGCAGCAGGTGCAGATTCCATTGTTGCTGTTACAAGCAATGAGGCTGGAACTTTTGCAAGTGCTGCAGCCTCAGGATCGGAACCGGCTGCTGCTGGTCCCAGCTACGCAGGTCCCTATGTGGACCGGAAGTCGGTTCAAATGCCGACCAAGTACTACGGCAAGGAGGACATCGAGTCTTGGATCGGCTCAATGCGGGCCTACTTCGAGATTCTGGGGACTCAAACTGAGATCCAGGCAGTGATCATGGGAATGAATGTCGAGCCGGTCGTACGGGGCTTCCTAAAAGTCCAAGCAACGCGGGCTGGGTTTCCAAAGGCTGCATTGGCCAAATGGCTAAGGGCCATCCCTGTTGCCTCCCTCGAAGAACTCCTTACCTCAGAATATCAAGATCCACATGTTGCTGCTAAAGCAAGAATTCAACTGGATAAAGTAAAGCACAGCAAGTGGAATGGCTCCATGAAAAGCCTGCAGACCTATCTAAGCAAACTGTTTGCCATCCCTGGTTTGGAGTTGTCCCCTCAATCTTGCTTGGATGTGGTCAAGGGCGCGGTCCCAACTCACTTTACTAGTCGCCTGGGCACGGGCTACATTGCATATACTGACTTTCTCGCCTTAATGAAGGATGTAGTCGGTCTGGAGGCCATGGACCTCGTGAGCGCGGCAGGCAGCAAAAAGCCCATGGGCGGCAGACGGTTCAAGGGCAGCAACCGTTTTGCTGTGCATGACCTGCTGGAGGCCGAAGAAGGAGCCGATGCGGTTGACCCCACTCTTGGTGACGACCAAGAACAGGACTCCGATACAACTTGTTCTTCAGCCCATGAGTCCGACGCAAATAACGAAGAAGAAAAATTTTCTGCCTTAAAAAAGACTGCCAACACTAAGGGACCGAATCAGAGTGCCGGAAAGACATATGTCCAACTCCCCAAAGGATTTAAGATCCCGCCTAAACCGGAGGATGCATCTACCAAACCATGGGTTGACCCCTGGATCACTGAGAATGACTGGCGGGGCAGATTCAAGAAGGGGGTTTGCCTGCATTGCCAAAAGCCAAATCATAAAGTTCAAGACTGTTATAGGCTGCAGGGAAACCAGAACCGGGCGTAGAGTCAGATTCAGCAAACTCTACAGCAGGGGAATCAGGTTCTGATGAAAATCAGCAGCCCTCCCTTGAAGCCCAACCATCTGCTGAAGACAAGGTTGCGGTAGGTAACGTATTGTATGACGAGCCTTGGGAGGAGTCTGAGATGATTGACTTCCACTTCCACTGTGTTAGTTGATTGTGGTGCTACAACTAATTTCATGTCACCACATGGGATACACAAGGTGGGCTTGGGGATGAAGCAAGTGGCCCTGCAGAACCCTTGCCGGACCCAAGTTGGCAAACAAAGAAGTTGTCTCTTCTACACATGCAGTCAAAGGTGTGCGCACTACCTTTGATAGAGGTAAGACTGTCACCCATGCACTGAACTTCTTTGTCCTTGACAAGTGCCCCTTCGACGCTGTCCTTGGCTTGGGCTGGCTGCAGTCCCAATGCGAATGGACCAAGTGGAAGGAATCACTCTTCATGGTCAAAGATGCTCAGGGGAACGAGCTTCCTGTCCTCTTGGATGAGAAGCACGAGTCCCCAGTGACTTTTCTAAATGCATTGAAATTCTGCAAGAAATGGCGCAAGCACAAAGAGGAAGAACAATTGTATGTTGCCTTTGTTCGTCCTGCTCATGTGCCTTCTACTTTTGCGGCTAGTACCACCACTACCTTGAGTAATGATCCTACTTCTAACACTTCTACTCTACCTCTCTACCCTCCGATAGTCCAAATGATCCAACTTCAGATTCGATTGTCTCGATACGCGACTTGCGACCGGACTTTGGTGATCCCTTTGCTGATTCCCCACCCTCACCTGTCCCATCAGACATCCAAGCCCTCCTCGATCGGTTTCCAGAAGTCTTGACCGAGCCACGTGGAGTCCCCACGCGACCGGTTCGACACACCATCGAGTTGGTCGAGGGTGCTGTTCCTCCAAAGGGCTGCGTGTACCGTATGGGACCCGGCGAGCTGGAGGAACTCCGGCGGCAGATCGATGAGATGATTGACAAAGGGTGGATCAAACCAAGYGAATCTGAATTTGGTGCTCCTGTGTTGTTTGTGCCAAAGAAAGGAGGCAAACTCCGCATGTGTATTGACTATCGCGGTCTAAACCGCATCACAAGAAAGAATGCTTACCCATTGCCTCGTATAGATGACTTGCTTGATGCTGCAGGCGGGTGCAAGGTCTTCTCCAAGATCGATCTCAAGTCTGGCTACCACCAGATTGAAGTCGATCCTGCGGACCAGCACAAGACTGCATTCAAGACGCGCGATGGGCTTTATGAGTTTACCGTAATGCCCTTCGGTCTTACGAACGCACCAGCCACGTTCCAAAGCCTCATGGACAAGGTCCTTTGCGAACAGATTGGCCGGTTCGTGGTAGTGTACCTGGACGATATCCTGATTTTCAGCAAGTCCATAGAGGAACACCTCAAGCATCTTGAGGAGGTACTTGCCATCCTCAAGAAGACGCAGCTCCATCTCAACTTGGAGAAATCCGAGTTTGGGAGGGATAGCGTCATCTATCTTGGGCACCGGTTGTCTGCTGCAAGCTTAGAGCCTGAGGCAACCAAGATTGAGGTCATACGCGATTGGCCTCAGCCTGTGAACATTCGTGAATTGCGTTCTTTTCTTGGTCTCGCGTCGTACTATCGGAAGTTTGTACCCCGTTTTTCTATCATTGCTCATCCATGGTCGCGACTAACCAGCAAGAATGTGTGCGTGTACGGAAGCATTTCGAACTCTCAAGGAAGCCTTGGTAAGTTACCCGGTACTCCGCAATGCAGATCCCAAACTGACCTTCGTAGTTACTACGGATGCAAGTCAGTATGAGATCGGTGCGGTGCTGCAACAAGATGATGGCGATGGCTTGCGGCCACTCGAGTACTACAGCAAACGAATGTCCAGCGTAAAGGTAGCCACTTCCACCTACATGCGCGAGCTCTACGCTTTGCGCATGGCGTTGGATCACTGGAAACATTACCTGTTGGGACGCCACTTCAAAGTGTTCTCAGATCATGAGACCTTGAAGTGGATCAAAATGCAAACTACTCTGTCCCCTACCTTGCTTCGCTGGTTTCATGAGATTGACATCTTTGATTTTGAATTGAGACACAAAAAGGGTTGTTACAATTGAGTCATTGACGCATTGTCTCGCCACCCTGAGTACATGACTTGCTTGGTGAAATCCTACGACCTCTGGAAGAAACTGAAGGAGGAGCTCGTAGAGCAGACAGCCAAGGATCCGGAACTTAGTTCCATCCTTGAGCAGCTGCGGGCCGATGCTAGTAGTCAGCCTGATTTCCACGAGTATGGAGGACTGATTTTTCGCCGATACGGGAACCATGATCGTTTGTGTGTACCCAACCATGAGCCTCTCCGCACACACTTCCTGGACTTGGCTCATGGCCGGAGTGGGCACTTCGGCATGGCAAAAACGTACACTAACCTGCTGAGACAGTTTCATTGGCCTAGCATGAAAGGGACTGCTGAGAAATTTATAGCTGAATGTCAAGTCTGTCAACGAATCAAACCATGTAGGCAAAAGCCCATGGGGCTACTCACACCCTACCCATTCCTGATGGTCCCGGGGAATCTGTCTCCATCGATTTCACGGACATGGGTAAGGTAAGCAAGAATGGGTTTTCACAAGTCATGGTGATTGTTGACCGATTCTCAAAGTTTCTTAATCTGATCCCTCTACCGCCTCACGCCCCAACAGATCTAGTGATTCGCGAATTTCAGCAGAAATACCTGCTGCAATTCGAAACCCCGAAGACTCTTGTGAGCGATCGGGACGTCCCACCTAGGAATCAAACTGTGCATGACATCTGACCGACACCCCAAAGCCAACAGTCTGGCTGAGGAGATCAACCAGACTTTATTCCAGCTACTCCGTGCTTTGATCATTCCTGATCAGGAAACATGGGATGAGGAGCTGTATTCTGTCAAGGGGTTGTACAACAACTCCGTTCACTCTGCCACCGCCACGACGCCCAATAGGCTGCACTACGGGTGGCAGATCCGCAATCCGCTCTCCTACTTGTTCCCTGAGCAGCTGGTTTGACACCCGGCAGGCCCGGCTTCAGGGCTAAGTATGATCGCTTGCTCAAAGTTGTTGTTGCAGCTATGACCAAGCGACAACATGCCATGATTCATCATGCGAACAAGAAGCGCAAATCATCGGAGATTCAGGTAGGAAGTTATGTCTGGGTAAAGATGTCTGAATTCTCAGAGGAGGAGGGAGTCTCACGCAAACTCCTCCCACTCTACTACGGGCCTTGGGAAGTCTTGGATGCAATCGGGGAAGATCATTTCGGCCCTTCGTACGTTGTGGACGTGCCTGCTCACCTGCGCACATATCCCGTGTTTCATGCATCTAAACTGAATCTCCATCGTGAAGCCGAGACATTCAATTATCGTGAAGATATGATCGCTCACGCAATTAAGGGCGGGCATGAGATAGATAGAATCAAACAGCATGTAGGAAAAGGGAGCAACAGACAGTACCAGGTTCATTTCATGTATCACCCGTTAGATGATCTCTACTGGATCTCCAAACATGAACTGCTACGCAGCGCACCGCACCTTGTCAAAGCTTACGAGCGACAGAACACCACTAACGCCACACCACTGCAACAGAGTATTCCAGGAATCTCTTTGCCTTGCTCGCCTACGATGCGTTTGTCGAGGACTCAGAATGAGTTACTCGCTCGAAGGGACCTCGCTCTTGAGGGGGGGGTAGTGTGATAGCCCGTCCAAACACGGACTGAAACACACAGCTGATTTATGAGTTTTGCTCATAGACAGAATGCCCTACCGAGTTCCCCGCCTGCTAAGTCTGTGTGAGTGTGTGCTTGCTGGACAACATTTCTGTCCGAGTGCTGGTTGGCTTGCGTGTGTGACCATGCCTGTCTGAGTGCTGGTTGGTATGAGTGTGTGTGTGTGTGGCCCGCCAGGGCACTTGTTCGTTCGTTGGGCCCTCAGGGCCGGTACTTACCTGTGGCCGTGGCTTCGAAGGGTTGCAGCAGGGAAAAAGCACGCAAGTAGCGGGTAGGCCGGTACCGCACCCGGCAGGGGGGTAAATATGCAGGTATTGGAGGCCGAGCAGAAGAAGACAAAAGTGGCATTTTTAGAGGCAAGTAGAGTAGGCTAGGTCTAGCGGGTACCAGTCTGAGTCTAGGGCCTGTAGGGGCAATATCAGAGTCTGCAATGATGTTCCCTCCAAAAGGAGGAAGAGGTACTGGTTGCTTGAGAAGGCCAGCGGCCTGGAAGTCACCGCCCAAGAGGCAAAGCAGGCCGCTATATCTTCCGGCCGGGCGGAAGACCCGACCTCTTTTTCGGTGTGCAAGTTTGGCGACACACTGGTGGAGCGCTGGAGGGAGCAGCGCTGGGTAGGAGCTCGCTGCTGGGGAGGAAGAAGAAGGACAAGAGGGAGGAAGGAGGAGGAAGGAAGGAGGAAGGGGGAGGAGCGCCAGGGGTACTTACCTGGCTATGGTGGCAGCCATCTTCATCACCTTGGTGGGCGCTGCAGCAAGGAGTCCCCAGCCGGGGAAAGCCACACCAAGAAGCTTCAGGGAAGGGTTGGACATGGCGGCCTGAGTCCGAGCAGCCATAGCTGCTGCTTTGTGTTGTCCTTTGGGCCTCGGAGCAAGGCCTAGTAGTCCACCATAGCTTCAGCCTATGTGTATGAAGAGTGGGAGAGGCGGCCATGGCTATGGTGGACCTTGAGTGATACCTGCAGTAGAAAAGGGACTCGGACATGATTCTGGACCAGTCATTCAACATTGTACTACTATTTCTTGTATGAATAAGAGAAGGGGGAGATAAGGAGGAGGAGATTGTTGGGCGAAGAAGAAGAGCCTTGTCATCATCTTTGCTGGTGTACTTCTTCTTCTTCTTCTTTCTCATTTCTTCTTCTTCTACTCCTCTCTCTCCTCTCAAGTTCATTCATTTCTTTCTGCAATTGGATGGCATGGGTCATAGCATATATTAAAAAAATAATAATAATAATAATAATAAAATAATAATATAAAAATAAAATAATAAACTAATAATATAATAAAATATGAAAATATAGAAATCCGAAAATAATAAAATAAAATAAAATAAAATAAAATAGAAAATTATTAAACAAATAAAAAATAATTAAACAAATAAAAAAATAAGAAAATAAGAAAATAAGAAAATAAGAAAATAATAAATAATAAATAATAAATAATAAAAATTAAAAATTAAAAATTAAAAAAATAAGAAAGAAAATCGAAAAATAAATAAAAGAAAAAGAAAAAATAAAATTAAAAATTAAAAATTAAAATAAGAATATATAAATAAATAAAAACAATAAACTAAAGTTAAGAATATGGTAACTAAAAGCAAAAATAAATATTGGATTAAAATACATATTCTTTCGCAAAACCGCCTAGTGTAGATTAAGCAAGGCAACAACGTATCAAGAATATGAATATTCAATTCTTGCAAAGCAAAAGGCTTATGGGAACTATATACTTATAAACCAATTACGTAAATATACTGCACAATAACAAATTAATTACAGATGTCGACTGACTAGTAATGATGCAACTGTGCTACGAGCTGTACCTCACAAAAAACACCTCAAAACCCCCCAAGAATAACGCATAACACACCACTAAGTACACTTATTGATAAAACAGCATACTGGACAAAAAACACGGCGCGGCTTACACTGAGAAAAACCAATTAGAATCGAAGAATAATACAACACTCCAGTACCACCCATCGTCAAATTTATTAAAACACCCCTTAAAAGAAACATACACAGTAAACCACTGAACACTGACCTACACATAAGAACCTAATACACATACACCCCCACTCGTACATCGATACGACCACCCGCAAGTACAAACCCAGCCGAGGGCGCTACATAAGGCAAACATTTCTTTCAAGAAAAACTAAGGGACATGAATAATAATAAAAACCCGAACACATGCATAGACACGAAAATGAAGAAAAGGAAACAGATACGACAACAAAAAATGAAACGGCAAAGTAACACCCCGCAAAGAAAGACACACAAAAAAACAAAAACTCATGAAGCATCCCCATGAAGATCGACATTTGAAAACCAGGACAAAAGAACTCGACAAAAGAAATGTGCCACTTTCTTTAAACAACTAATTAGACTGCAACCCATCGAAAATACTGACCACCGCCGAGCTCTGAAGTTGATCGGCGCGAAAGAAGAAGACAATAACATTACGCGGGAACTACAAAGCAAAGCAAATATGCCACTAAAGATCAAAACTATAATCACCCCACCTACGGCCAGACCCCGTAAATTGTACTACAACCGATCAAACACAAGCATAACCCGTACACCTACACAGACCCCTAAAACCTACCAAATACGCCCTGTTTTACCAAACCAGAACAAATATAACCTTTCGGCGACCTAATTTTTTAATTAAAAAAAAAACAAAAAAAACAATAATGATTAATCTATCCTATACACACGAACGCCACCATACCCATTACAAACCTCAAATAACAAGATATAATGAAGCCTGCCTGCATCACTATCTACAGCAGCTTGCCTATGACTACATCAGCGCTACGGAGCATTCCGACTCATACTTGCTACGCATGCGAATAACTTCCTCATCCCACCATCTTCTCCCACCTGCCTCTCCTCATCCCCCTCATACTACGCAACCAGGCGAGCTAACCGTCTGTCTGCGGTGAGCAAGGCACCTTCTTGGGCCGGCCAATCTGTGCTTCGACCAACAGAGCTCCTGATCCATCGCTACGTCGAAGCTCAACAGCTATGGCAGCTACGGCAGCGACTGACTATGCCGCTTCTCCAGACATGACACCGCAGGTACGGATCCTCTGTACCCTTACCCCTAATCTCCCATGTTGTGTATTCCCACGACCCCCTGACTACAACTCCCTACCACCCTTTGTGCTAATTGGAGCCTTGCTAACGACTAATCCCTCTGATGAGCTGCTATGGGTGCTAAGCGGCGAAAAGTGCGCTTTAGGGCGTGCACCCCCCCTACGGTTGGGTCCTCATACCCATTCCTAACCACTGCTAACCTACTAACTCTAACTTTGCTAACCTGCTCCCTATCTAATATGTGCCTTGATGTATCCTGTACCTAACTACCCCCCTTCCCCCCTTGCCTAACATTTGATGTAACGACAATGTCTAGTGTCCCATTCTGAATGGGATGGTCGTGTTTTATACACACACACCCTACACACACCTGCCCATGCCCACAGACACACACGTGCGCACACACACACACACACACACACACACACACACACACACACACACACACACACACACACACACACACACTCGCGCACGCACACACACACACACACGCACACACAATCAATCAATCAATCAATCAGTCAATCAATCAGTCAACGAATCAGATCAATCAATCAGTCAATCAATCAATCAATCAATCAGTGTCTAACAAAAACAGAAAAAAAAAGGAAAAAGAAAAGAAAATGGTTGTGATTTTTCTTTTCATTATTATCTTTTTTTTTTTTTTGCTTTCATATTTGCATATGTAGGTAAAAAGTAAGAATCAAAGAAACGTGAGCACCATGATTATCCCACCAGCAATTAGAAAAAAATGAAAAAAAAAGTTCCCTTTTTGTTAATTATGTTTCTTTTGATTTTAATACTTGTTTTTTTTCGTTTTCTATTTTTTTTTAAATAACAAAAAAAATCAAAACAAAAAACAAAAAATATGGGGTTGTAGGGTTTTGGAAACCCTACAACCCCATATATATATATATATTGGCCTATTATCGTACAAATTAAAAATTTTGAGGTTTTTCGACTGCACTTGGCCTCAGTGGTTGGCCCCCGACATGTGGCCAAAAAGCCCGCGATCATGACCGCGGGTGATACATAGGGTGCAAACTCCATAAACCAATCACACTTTGTTTTGTGAGGAGAATAGTTCCAATGGTAGAACAATGGTCTCCAAAACCATAGGTTAAGGGTTCGAATCCCTTTTCTCCTATAATGCAATTATAATTAATGTTCCTATCTATATCAAAACAAATAGTAAGACCCTCCAAGAACATGAGGGCCATCTGACGTGGATCTTGGAGAAGTTGAGAGGGGGGAATTTCAAGATCAATGCGAAGAAGTGCGAGTGGGCCAAGATAAAAGTACTTTACTTGGGCCACATATTAGATGGAGACAACATTAGATTAGAGGGTGGTAATATCACAACGATCAGGGACTAGCCAACTCCTTGCACTCTGACTCAGTTTCGGTCGTTCTTAGGACTCTCCAACTATTATAGGAAGTTCGTAAGAAATTTCTCTGCTATCGTTACTCCCCTTCGCAGACTCCTAAAGAAGGAAGCAATTTGGAAGTGGGATCAAGATTGCACCTTGGCCTTGAAGAAATTGAAGAAGGCCTTGGTAGAGTACCCAGTCCTCAAAGTAGCCAATACTTCATTGCCTCTTGTTGTCACTACAAACGGAAGTCAGTATGGCATAGGTGATGTGCTACAACAAGACGACGGCAACGGCTATAGACCCGTAGAGTTCATGTCAGCGGTGTTGCCCTCAAAAAAAGTAGCAGCCTTGACATACGAGAGGGAAGTCTACGCCCTCAGGTAGGCCTTAGACCATTGGAGGTATTACCTACTTGGGAGGCACTTCAAAGTCTACTCAGATCATGAGACTTTGAGATGGCTAAAGACACAAGCCAAGATGACGCCCAAGTTGACGAGGTGGGCAGCGGAAATAGACCAGTTTGACTTCGAGCTTAAGCCGTTAAAGGTAAGTACAATGTGGTGGCCGACACTCTGAGTAGAAGAGAAGATTACTTTGGAGCGATCGTACATTATCTGGACATAGGGACGGGCCTGCAGCAAAAGATAAAGAATGCATATGCTCAGGATCCAATCTATGGCGATTTACTAAAGAGAGTGAAGAAAGCTCGTGATAGTGAGCCAAATTATCGCACCACGAGCGGGCTCCTCTTTGAGAAGACCAACGTCGTTGATAGACTATGCGTCCCCAATAGTGAAGAGATCCGTAGCTTGATCCTAGGGGAATGGCATGATACGGAAGGGCACTTTGGTTGGCAAAGGACTTTGGTCAACCTCATGATGTCGTATACATGGCCTGGCTTGAAGGCAGATTGCATAGAGTATATTCGCAGTTGCAAAGTTTGCCAGCGCAACAAGCCAACGACACGAGCACCATTAGGTCTCCTCAGACCCTTGCCTATCCCCGCAGGATCCAAAGAGTCAGTTTCCATTTATTTTATGGATGTCGGAGTCAGGAGTGGGCATGGCGAAAACCAAGTCATGGTCATAGTAGACAAATTTAGCAAATATGCAGTATTAGTACCTTTGGCTTCAAAGGCAAGAATAAACTTAGCAAATATGCAGTATTAGTACCTTTGGCTTCAGAGGCAAGAATAAACTTAGTTACAAAGAAGTTTTTTGACTTCTTGGTACGTGAGCATGTCATACCACGGTCCATAGTTGGTGACCGAGACACGCAGTTTACCAGCCAGAACTGGCAGGATCTTATGAAACTTTATGGCTCTAAGTTGTTAATGTCGTCAGGTCGTCATCCAGAGACACATAGCAGATGAATACAATCTTGCAGCAATTACTCAGGATGTATTTTAGACCAAACCAAGTAAACTGGGATGAGATGCTTCCCAAGGTAGCTAGCGCTTATAACAACAATGTACATCTAGCTACCTGTTGGACTCCTAACGAGCTGCATAAGTCCTTTAGACCACATAGGTCATTTGAGGGATTGAACAGGGATCAAATTCAGAGATTACCTCCCGGTACCAGAGAGTTTGCCTTGCAACACGAGAAGGAAGTCGCTAAGGTGGTCGAAAACCTTAGAAAGGCCCTGCTTCGCATGATTGAACAGGCGAACAAGCATCACAAACCCTCACAGTTTAGGGTAGGCGACCTAGTCTGGGTCAAATCAAAGGAATTCGCACCAGAGGAAAACATCTCGCAGAAGCTCTTGCCCGCGTACAGAGGGTCGTGGCCTAACCTAGAAGTCAAAGCCCCGCATAGATGATATGTTGGATCGGGTGCAAGGTTGTAAGTACTTAACAAAGATAGACATGAAGTCAGGGTAGCATCACCACAAGACGGTGTTCCGGGAGTGGTCTCTAGAAGTTCGGTTTTGGTGAACCATCTGTTGTCCTCGTGTTCCTGGTAAGCAAACCTAACTTTATATTGCTTCTGGGGACGACCTCGACCTCCATACCTAAAGACATCTTCTTCCACTATGCGATCATCCATATCAGGCAGAATCATGGATCTCCGCGATGGAAACTGTTGACTAGTGACACAAGGCAACAACTTTGACACATGGAAGACGAGATACATATGGAGGTGTGGTGGTATCTCTGCATTCTTGACTGTTATGGCATTCAGACTCCTGTCGTCTATACACATTCTTAACTCTCCCTCTTTCTTGGGGACAAATAAGACAGGTGCGCCAAGAGGAGACTAGCTCGGTCTAATCCATCCCTTTTCGAAGCCCTCGTCTAACTGCTTACGCAACTCTTCCAATTCCTTGGGAGGCGTTTTACTGTCAGGTTCTATCTCTATACGATGTTGAATGGGTCTTGGCACTACCCCTGAGGTTGCCTTGATAGATCCTTGTACTCATTCAACAAACTGGCGATGGTGGGATGGATCTCTTTTCCTCATTTGGCTGATCAGAAACTGGCTTGACATAAGCTATGAACACCTGTTCCTCAAGCTGCTCCTTTTTGTCGAGTCTAGCAAACGTAGGAGCACGGAGGCAGCAATGTGCCGGAGAGTTGTCAACTCCTGACGCATGGAACAGGCGGGCTTTCTTGACCCCACCCGACGGACTAGGGAGCCTGCACTCGTGCTCTCTAAGGTGCAATGTGGCCCTGGCTGCCTGTCCCCAATTTGTGCCAAGCACTATATCGAAAGGGAGGTTTTCTTCTGCAAAGAGAGTCGGGGAGCGAAGGACTTTCTTTACCTTCCCCCCTTGCTCTAGGCGAAAGTACGCCTGGACTCCCTCTACGTACTCCTTGATCCGCATGGTGCGGTTGTCTGCGAGGATAGTGACTACAAATTCCTTCAGCTTTTGGACCTTGAGGCCTAGCCTCAACTTCTTTAGCTCTCTACGACCAATGTAGCTTCTGGTGGCCCCGCCGTCTATAAGGGCCCCTCCTCTAGCTCTAAAAAATTCTACGTCTGCTTCCATCCTTCTTCATCTTGGCCCAGGCTTGCCTTCTCTCCTTCAACTCTTCAACTAGCCTATGAGGGGAACTCTAACACAAGCAGTCTCTGGGCAGCTAACTAGGCTCTGGCCTGCAACCTCAGTCATGGAGGTGCGTGGAGTGGGAGTCTTTGTCTTGCACGCACGCTCTCCTGGGGTAGGGGCAGTTACTACCTCTATCGGCGGTTGCCTTTTGCTGCCCTAGATGCAACATTGCAGAACCCCCTATACTTCGGGCAGAACTTGATGATGTGCCCGGGGTTGCCACAAAGCACGCATTGATATTTATCAATACGGTCCTGCCATACATTCTGATCAATGTTAAGGGTTTCCCAAGGCCTATCTTTAGGCCGTCCAGGGTGCCATGCACCTCTTCTGGGAGGTGATCGACCATACTAGGACGATTAGTCGGGGGACCTTGACCCCTTCCTCCCGCTTGGCGGTCTCTATTGCCCCCAACCCCCTGGCAGCCTTGTCCATGACCACCTTAGGCCTGGCCACCCTTGCCCTGGTCTCGTCCTCCTCCTTGCGGCCTCCCTCCGGCAAAGACAACAACGTAAGTACTCCCCTTTCCTACACTATTGTCCTATTCCTCTAGCCCCCACTCTATGTCAGTGTAGGAGATCTCTTCCGCACCACCTTCTTCCATTGTAAGGATCAAACTGTCTTTGGCCTTGACTTGACTTGAGATGGTGCGCCCTTTCCACTTTTTGCCCTTGGCTAGGTCCTTATGCCAGAAAGTGGTAACTAGCATAGCTTGGCCAGGAAACTCAACAGCCTCTCTACTGAGGAGATCATAGGTTATTCCAGGCTGTTGTTTTTTATTAAAGAAGTGCCCTGGCAAATGTCCGGGCAGCGCACGACAAAAGAGTTGGACGAGCTGTGCTTCAGTAACTTCATGTCCGGGCACAACAATGAGTTCGTCCATGGCGGATTTGAGGGCATGCACGCTCCTCCATTGCTGCATATGAATCATCTGGAGCTTATCAAACGTCTTTATTCCACTGGTGATGTCTGCAAACCGTTCTTGTAGTGCAGCGAGAAAATCATTAAGGTGAGTGACAACAGACTATTGGACCATGTCATTATCGCAGTGGGCGGCGAGTGCGAGCGACGTTGCAAAGCTGGTCGCTTCTTCTCTCAAAGCCGGAAGGCTATCACGACATGGTCTCCGAGAGCTACGTCCCGCAAATGCATGTAGGAATTAACACTAGCCTTCTGGTTATCAAAGTCTTCCCCCTTCTTCCTACTGTAGGGTTTTGGGAAACGGACTTTGACCCGTTCACGGCGTGTGCACAAATCCTCCTCCTTGGGGGCCGCCATTTTGACACCTTCTATTGTGTTTGTACATAATTTCTTTGTCTTATTGCGACGCGCATGTCGTTTGTCAGATGGAGCATCATCTCTTGGGCGAAATCTTGGAACCCTATGCGAATGGATTCTAGGGCAATATCGTGCCCACGGAGGTGCGCCAACTACAGTTGTTGTGTTGTTTGCACAATAGTCATGCTTTGGGTCAGGGTGTCAATTTTCTTTCCTTCTTCGATGTTTTTCCCTATCTTACCCAACCGCTCTTCTGCCACCCTCAATTCTGTCTCCATACGGTCTGCCATCTCCAAACGCCTCTTCTTTTCCCTTGTGAGACGTAATTGCCACTCCAACTGCTCTTCGTGCTCCCTTGCCTTTCGGCACATGGGACTTTCTTCTTGCTCTAGTTCCTTCTCCACTGCTTCTCTCTCAGCCTTGGGGACAATCAACTCGACCTCTCTGTCTGTGGCCAAGAAGAAGCTTGCCACCCACTCCACCGCCCTTTCCGTTTTCTCTGGCGATGCGAATCCCGAACTTGATTCTCCTCTCTTCTCCTTTTTTTCTTCAGTCCCTGCCAGTGTTCCTCCTCTTCTATACAGCAGGGGATCTTCTTCTTCTTCTTCTTCTTCTTCTTCTGCTTCTGCTTCTGCTTCTAACACGGCCAACTTCGCCTCCTTCTCTCTCTTCCACTTTTCCATTTCCTCCTCCATCTGCTTCTGCCTGGCTGCTTCTTCCTCCATCAAGGCCAATTTCATGGCCTGCCGGATCAACTCCTTCTCCATCTTCTCCCTTTCTCACGGAGAATTGCAGCAACTCTCTCCTCTTGTGCCTTACTATATGGAGTTGTGCTGATTCCGATCCTAGTGGTCACCATGTTGGTAGGGGCACAATCACTGGCGATTCCACTCCTCAACACTTAGACCTACCACCCTAGTACTGACTTTCTAAAGGACTACAAAGATCTCTCATCCACAGCCTTCGGATGCTTTCACAACCATAGTCACTAATCTTTCCACAGTCGTCGGATGCTTCCGCAACCACAGTAACCAATCTTTCCACAGTCGTCGGATGCTTTCGCAACCACAGTCACCAATCTTTCCACAACCGTCGGATGCGGTCGCAACCACAGTCACCAATCCCACCTAGCTTCGGCTTCAAATTGACCCTCTATCAACTATACAATTCTAGCCTAAGCTACTGCTAGTTTGTCACTACAGGACTATTGGCTGATCAGGAGGCATTGAAGAATTCCCCATAACTCGTCATGAATTCTTTAACGTCGCAGTTAGGACGACGATCACAACCAAAGTCCTCTAAAGACTTAGACAAACTGGACACCCGCTCTGCAGCTCGGAGTTCGGGTATAGTGTACCACCCAGAGCAACCTGCCGGTCTGTAGCGGTCCGTAGGGTGTTTTTCCCAGGTCGTCTAGCACACCTCACCGCTACTAAGTCCCATGTAGACACTGGCTCACAGTCTCTATCAGACCACATGCATGGAGCCTATAAACCTGGACAGGAGTGACTCGATGCAGAGAGAGATGACAAACTCTTCAGCTAGTACCAATGTGAGTGTGCAATATCCAGAGGGCATGGGGGACAAGGGCTAGGGCTTGAAGGGTTATACCGCTCCTCGCTCCGCACTCCAGCTTGGTCAACGGGCACTGGTCAACACTTGCCGGTCAATGACGGTCAACCCCCGGCCAAAACCGGTCAACGTTGGTCAACCCCTGGTCAATGCCAGTCAACTCCTGGTCAATGCCAGTCAACTACGGTCAATGCCAGTCAACTCCGGTCAAACCTCGTCGGTCAACGCTTGGCTATGGCCGCTTTCTCCTCCCTTTGTCACCTTCGTGAACTTTGCCCTTCTTCGTCCTCGTCCTTGATTCGGCTATGGCCGTCTCTTCTCTCCTTGGTCACCTCTCTCTTTCTCTCCTTCTTCCTCTATTGTAAACTCCTTCGTCTCCCCGGTCCTCTGCTTCTCTGAGCTCAGCGGCTAGGGCTGTTGTCCGCTATCGTGGACTGTCCTTCCTCCTCGTGGGCATCCCTCTCTCTTCTTCTTCGCGCGGCAGTTTTCTTCCTCTTTGCGGCGGTCTGTGCGATGGCGCAAACAACGAGAACCTGCTCCGATACCAGTGCAATCAGACTTGTCTTCGACTTCACTTCCAGCATGCATACCCACAGATGCCGATGGCCAAACAACTTCCTCAATGTAGAATCAGCAATAAGGATGAGATGGCGCACAGCGCCCACACAGGAAACTCGGAGATATGTCTTTCGGCCAGAAACTCAGTATAAGTCAACTTGTCACAACTTTTGGCTAGGCGACTGGCGCCGATCTGAATTCCCACCCGAACGCTGTATCTACAATTAGGCACACTCGCACTCACTCGCACGCATGTACACACACACTGGGATCTACCCTGAATGTCCACGCCCACACACACAAGCACACTATTGTTGTCATCAACAAGCTGGCGGCTATGGCCGTTGTTCACTTCTCCTTCGGGCTCCTGCAGACCTCCACCGCACAAGTCACTTCAGCAGTGCTTCCGCATGGTTCGCAGGCGAATGAATGAATGGCTGGGTGTTGCCCCTTTATTTATACTGTTTCACCAGTGGTCTGGCCTGCCTTCGGTCCGAGGCCCAATTGATGTGCGACGCCACCTGGTACTTGCTGACTGGGCAAGGTGGACTGGGACTGAGACTGCTGACTGGACTAGGACTAGATTGACCCTGAATCTTATGGCTTCGAAAGGTCAAGTCGACGAGTCTAGAACCTCCTAGGCTACGACTGACTGACCCCTACAGCTCCGAAGAGCCACGTAGTAACTTCTAGACTGACCCTTCGCTACACTTATGACTAATCTCTAGGGCTGACCCTGAGAATACTAACCTGCAGGTCATCGGCTCAAGTCCACACGACGCAGACTACATGTTTGTAACATTTGTACCATACTTGCAAGCGTACAGACCGGACGAGCGTCCGGTCCGGTCCGGTTCGTCGGGTCCGGCACCCTCCCCCCGGACCGGATAGAGCCGGACCGGACTGGACGGGACCGGACGGGACCGGACCGGGTGCGGTCCGGTGCCCTTCCGTCCGGTGCGGTTCGGTCCGGGACTGGAGCGGTGACTTCCCCACACCGTCGGGGTTGGTAGGGACCCTTTTTTTTTTTTTTAAGTTTCTGCAGGGTAGGGGCCACTGTTGGGGGGGAGTGCGCACCTCTGGGAAGTCCGGAGTTGCGAACTATTTGCAGATGTGGAAGGGTCCGAAGACTCCGAACTTCCGAAGTATGCAAAATCGATCGATCGAATCTTCCGTTACATCGTCGAAACATTC